TTATAATCACCTCTAATAATTGGAAGCAATTTTGTAAATATTTTTACAGAACAAAGTATTCTGTATAGCATTTTGCCTTTCAGTCAAATTTCCACAATAAATTGCACGTGAGTTTTGTATTGTATATGATGTCCAAACATGGGAGGTCTTCACAGAGCAGCTCTGTAAGATAAGAGACAAATTTGTAAGTAGAAGAGCTGGTAGAATTAGAAGGAAGTGATTTGTGACTATTCTCATGAATAGATCTCTCTCCTGGGGTCCAGGGGTCATGTTTATTCAAGCTGTTAGTTTATCAGTATATTTGTGAGTCCTAAACATTTTGTAAACAACTTTAAACAGAGAGTAGTATTAGTCTGGAAGCTCTTCATAGTGGAGCATTGATATCTGTTCAGTAACTGATATGCTTTCATCATTATTCCTCTGCTTTGAAAGTTCAGTTTTGCTGCCAGAAATGATGACGTGAATCGGGCAACCAGCCACATATCCTTGGGTGAAAAAAATAAATTGGCTATTTTCAAAGACATTCATCTGCAAACAACTCATCAATTGAAATGCATGTGTATAATCTATTTGGTGACTGTTTGCAATTAGTTCTACAAACATTTAAGTCAAGCTTATGGTCAGATCAAGGCACAGATAAGAAGAGCGGGCTGAATTTAACGGATCACTTACTGTCATAAACAAACCCTGGGTGTAAGAAAATTGCAGAAGTGCAAGAAAATAGTAGAAATAGACTCCTCTTTGCATGAATGCCTGGAGAGGATTAACAGTGTGGAGGAAGTAAATGTATAAGGAAGCTAAGTATATTTGCTTATATCAGAAAAACTGTTTGAAATAAACACTTGCAGTGATGGAATGTTTAGCTCTTATGTTGACCTCCGTCAGAGGAAAAGGGCAAGCCTCCTTTCCATTCTTTCCACTTGGCTGTTTTATAAAAAGTTTGAACTGACATTACTTTAACATTTCAGCATCTACTCTTGACTCTTTTCATTGCTATGAGAAGTTATACTGCTTTCTTTCATTAGTTTCAAAAAGTGTTCTACTTAAACTAGTAGCAAAGGTTCTGCAGCCAACCTCAGCTCTGGACAGGCAGAAGCCTCCAATTGTATCAAGAGCAAGAGACAGTGAAGGAGCACTTCAGTTATTGCTGCAACCTGGCTGTAAACAGCAGCAGGAAATGCAAAGAGCAAACAATGAATGCAAGTCTGGCTTAAGTGGGCAGCCTAAGGCTGTCATCAGCTGAAGAGATAATGCATTGGTTTAAGACACTAGGGTAGGTTTCAAAGCAGAAGGAGTAGCAGTCATGGCTAAGCAGCTGGGAAAGAGCAAACCATGCAGGGCTTCAGCGCTGCAGCCAGGTGCCTGTGAGCTCCAGAAAAGCCAGTTCTCACTCATCCCCTGCCAACAGAACAAGCCTCTGTTACCGCACACACCAAGGGAACCTCTTCCATCACTGACCAGTGTCTGAGCTCACTGCACCTTAGTCAGGGCTGCAGAGCAGTCCCTTGTCCACCCTTTTAGCTGCAGTGGGGACAGTGTCTTACAAAACTCATTTCAGTCTGTCACCCCATGGAATTCACTTCATATATATTTCCTGGCCTAAAACTTCATATCCTGTTTGTCTGGATATGAATATATTCCTGTACAAAATATTGCATGACACTTGCCAGTTTTTAAAAGGGTCAGCATTTGGACAGAGTTTGGCCAGACTGAAATCCTGGCCTCAGCAAAATCGATGGGTGTTTTGCCATGAAGCACACTGGGCTGGGATTTCATGCCAGTTTGTTATTTGGCCTGTTGAACTGCATTAAGATGTCAAGCCTGGACTGAGAGGGCCATGTGAGAGGACTGTCTACTAGTATTTTGACTTCTGCTATGTGCTATGCTGGTCAGAAACATTAAGAAGACTTTTTGTTGTTTTTTAATTGGCACATTTGGGATTTTTTACTTTGACTTTTTTTATTTTGATTTTTCCTCTTTTAAAACTTTCTAGCTAATTCTATATCTAACTAATCCCAATTCTAGTCCTACACAGAAAGCAAGAGAATAGATGTAAGTGTTCTTCAGTTATTATAGAGCTGCAACATCTACCCTTCCATCTACACTCCCTGAACTTTTCAGGTGCTTAGGTTTAGTATGAAAGCTGCAGGCTGTGGTATGCTTATGTGGTTACATCACATTTTAGTAGTAATACTTGAAAAATGTAGATTAGGTTGTTGATTTGTTATTTCATTTGTGGTTGTTCCATCAGCATCACTATTGTTCAAGTAAGATGGAGAATGAATTTTGATGACTTCCAGACATACTCTCTTGCATGTCATCGATGTAGTAACCAGCTGAAAGGCCTCAGATCAGTTTCAAATCCAAACATTTCAGAAACTGTAAAATACGCTAGGTTTGGTTCCTAAAACCAGTGAGGCCTAGGGCCTTCTAAGCGTGTTATCTCACTACAGAAGCAGATGAACAAGTCTTCTCTAGTTTGTCATCTTCATTTTCAAAGCTGTCTGTGCTACTGGGTAGCAGATGCGTTCAAATGGAATACAATTTCAGAAAGATGTAGTTGTGCTACACAGTGGGCAGTTGGTATTTGTGATTTATACTTGGGTAAATGCACTTTAGTGGGTGTAGCTAAAAACACATGGAGACAGTTATATCTTACCCAGAAAGTCTGAACGTATCTGGATCTGGCATAATCAGTTCTCTCTGCAGCATTTGTGATAACGTGGGACAATATTCTTTAAAGGGGACTAGAAATGCAGGAGACTTGAGCGGATGTTGCCAATTTTTGAAATCTTTCACAAAGCAGACAGTGCACCTTGTGTCAGATTCCATGCACAGATAAGACAGTTTGAGATGCACTCACACTGTAATGCAGTGTGGTGGAAAATGTCTCTACAGCACCGCTGAAGAAACAGGAGGCCTAGGGCTCTTCTTGCTGTGCAGTTAGAACGTGGGTCTTGTGATTAACACCGTAAAAACCCAGTGGAAGTCCAGTTTTTTTCTAACTGCTTCCAGCTTCCATGGACTTCTCTGGAAATATAATGCTCAGCAGCATCGGGTGTGAATATCTCCTATTTCCTGCTTTTCTTCTCTCATCTTCTGATCACAGAGTGAAGGGCTGGTCTTTTGTTTTTAAGACAAGGAAAAAATAGAAGCATGACTATTCCTCAGATGAGCTGGATGAGAAGAGATAATGGGATGGAAAGGGCATTTGTTTTTTAATGAACTGGTCTTGATGAATGATACCAGAATACTTGAAGAATTACCTGACGTGGTAGCGTGAAACTGTTTGTGTTTGCCTCAAGGAGAAGGGTGAGATGCCAGAGATGGAAAGAGGGCAAATACACTTTTCTTTTTAAAAGGGAGAAAGAAGAGTCAGAGAGGTCAGCTGAATTTCAGTTCCTGCAAAAATACTGGAAAAACTACTCAAGACATTATTCATACGTAGAGAAAAACAACATGGCTTTTTGAAGAACAGATCATGTCAAACCACCTAATTTCATCATTTGATGAGGTAATCCTTACCATGCTGACAGGAAGAAGTAGTAAATGCTGGATATCTTTATTTTCATAAGTCTTTTGGCAGAGTTTTATGCAAGCAGGGAAGAGAAAAACAGCCAGATGAAACTACTGAAATGTGGTTATCAAACTGATTGGAAACCATGCTCAGTAGTTACAGGCAGTTTGCTGTCAAAACAGAAAGATAAGCTGAGCTCCCAGGAGCCTGGTCTAGCCTGGTGCTCTTCATTACTTACATTAATAGTAATGAACAGAGCCTGCTTTTTAAATCTCCACACAGCCCCGGGTGGAAGAGACTGCAGGCATGTTGGAAGATAGGGTTAGGGTTGTAAAAATTCTGAACAACTATAGAGCTGATCTTAGACAAAACCCATGAATGAAATGGTTGAATACTCACATGGGAACAGTCTGCAACACAACTGTGCAGACTGGGTGACTTGGCTGAAAGTTTTGTAACATCATCCTTATGCTTGGTTCAGCAGCACCTTAGCTAGAGTAGCAGGTAGTGACTAGGGCCCTATGTAGCCAAAAAGCTGTGTCCAGCTGTAAGGAGGAGAGAGCAGAGCAATGAGATCAGCCAGAAAGGACTGAAGGGTGTGTGATCACTCAGAGAAGGGAGCAAGTAGAGAGCAGAAGTCGTGGAACACAGTATACCACTGCAGAGGGGAAGGAAATCACACGTCCTCCACATCTCTGCTAAGCAAAGCAAGTCACGGTGGGACTGCATGGCAGCAAGTGAAACTTTGGAACTAGGAAAAGCTTTCTAATAGCAAAAGTACAAGAGCAGAGCAGCAAATTGACCCCAGGCTCCCAGCTCCATTTCTGGAGGCTTTAAAGATCTCATCCGACATCCACCTAGAGCTGTTTAGTTGTTACACAAATTCTGTTAGGATTAAGTTGCCTTTTCACCCTTTTCATAGCCATTGGAAAGTGTGTAAGCTATCACAGTGAGCAGACAGTGTATTGTAAAGCTTTGTGAAGCTTCCGTAGGTGAAGTCTCAGCGTCTTACTGTAAGATGACAAACGTGGGGTGAATATTTGCGCACAGCATCCTGCTGCCTGTGGAAAAAATGATCTGGTTTTCTTTGAAATGCCTCATGTAGAAATATGCTTCTTCACCGCCTGGTAAAAATGACATGCTACATATCAGAGGCAGCTTTGAGCATTGTAGTCCTTGCAGTGACTTGTCAAAGCCATGAAAATTTTTACTAGGGACTGCTCTCAATTTTGGAGTTTTTTATTCAAAGACAACCTATTGAGTAAAGGAAAGCCTGCTAAAATATGTGGAGTCAGTTGATGGTGGCCCTCCAATGAAATTTCACTGCCAAATAATGCATTAATGTTCTCAGGAGTTACTGCAGTATTTAACAAGTTATTACACATTTATTATAAATGAAATGACAAGGGGAAGACATAAAAAATGCAAGCTTACTACACAGACATGAGCTGTTCACAAACACTCAGGCTCATGCATCTGGAAGTTTCTTTTATGGGAAAAAGCTTTATTTGAAGATTTCCAGGACTCCTGGGTTTCAGCTCCATAAAATCCTACAAAACAGCTGTTGTTGTGGTATTTTGGGCTATTCCTACTTGAAGCCTCAGCTGAGACTGGAGTGGAATTGTTGCACAATACAGCAGGAATGAGAGCACACAGATGCAAGGCATCTGACAGCACGTTCATGTTGTTCTGCTGCAGTCGGCTGCATCACCCAGGAGAGCAGGCTGGCTGGTGGCCCCATGGCCACTGCAGTCACCAGGTGTCCCTTCCAAATAGCTCTTCTCCCTGGATAGGGAACAATTTATGTCTTCTTGTATGAGTGCTTAGTCAGAAAAAAGAAAAAAAAAGCCCATCCCAACCCAAGAGGCTTCCTTAAATTCTCACAAAACCCACATCAGGAAGCTTTAGTAACAGAGGTAAGAATAGCCTTGGGAAAATCAGATAACTCCAGCTATTTGTGATGTAATATTCTAGCAGAATCTGTGCAGCTTCTTTCTGCCCCCAGTGGTCTTCTAAATGAACTCCTAGATTTTGCCTAGACTGCAGATTGTCACTACTTTCAAATTGCAGCTCCGTTTTCTGATCACTTGTAGCCTTCTGCACAGTATAGATTCTCCCATGAGAAACTTCTCTCAGCCACTCTCTCACCTCTCTTTTTCTGAGTATAGACATTACAAGTTTCACACTCTTTCCTTTAGACTCAGCACAAGCCCTTAGAAGAGTGGTGCATCTCGAGCAATTTCTGTGGTTTCTTTTGCAAAGGACAGCCTGTCCCCAAGTCCAGCCAGATCCCTGCAGATGTTTATTCAAACTGCCAAGCTTTCAGAGGTTTGCCCATTTAATTTCTAGTTAGTGAGCTGAAGTCGTTTGCAGAACACCATGGTAACAGGAGAAAACACTGCTGTGTCATTTTATGGTAAGGAGAAGGCTGAGAAGATGGGCTTCAAAGTCTCAGTGTTTCAGTAGTCTTCTTCCCTCTGTCTTCTTCCGTTTCTCATGACCCTTCAGGCAGTGATGTTTCTGTGTCAATTTCTAGCCAGCCCAAAGGAACACAGTCTGTGCTACAACACCTAGGCATGATTGCAACACAACAAATAGGACTCAACAGGTAATCACACGTAGCAGATAAATTTTAGCTGTTCTACAACTTCTGGAAGCAATAAGCAAATAATGCTGCCTACTGGCAATACCGAGGGAGTTTTTTTCTGAATGACTAACACAATGAAAATAATTGTTAAATTTGCAACGCAGAAATTAAGCACTTGTTTATTGTTCACTGGCTTTTACCTAAAAAAATTAATCAATCAGATGTCTTTAAAATGAATGTGCTTGTGTAACTAAAGGTCAAAATGAAAATCCCACAGGAAACAATCCCTGCTCTAACTCTCTTTTTGGTACTGGATCAAACAAGAGAAATAACTTTAGCTGGGGAATTAATTCTTGTCAGAGCTCTGCTGTGTTCCATGAACTACTCAGCTTTCTTCTGCTGGGTTCAGTGGGGATCTTCAAGGTGCTATTTTTACCAGTTTTGAATCATAGACAAGGTGACCTTTTCTCACTAGTTGATGCTGCCTCTGAGTACACTGATGTGTCATACACCAGTACCATCGTTCTCCTGGTCCAAGTGCAGACCCATGCAACAGGAGAATCCTGCCGGGTTTTCAGCACCTTAGTGATTTGAGTCACAGCCTCAGAACAGCAAAGAACATTTCCTCTCCTGATGTGAACATAGACCATTCTCTGAATGTCTTTAGTCTCCTTATTTTCAGTTCAGCTTTGTGAAATTCTAATCTGTTTTGGAACCACAGTACTTAATCTATAAGACAGAGAAAAACGCATGCTGTTTAGAAAAGCTTGCCTATCCTGTATTTTCTCTGATTCAAAGCAGATAATGTAGGACAAAAGGCCTGTTTCAGGTTTGCAATGAGTTTTGTACAAAGATCAAACTCCATGTTTATTTTATCTAAGCAGATTATTTTTTGTGCAAATTACCAATTGCCTCTGTCGGTTTCTAGACCCTAGCTTACAGGTTCACCTGCTTGCAGAACTGTAGTATGCATCTAGCTTGAAGGTACAAATGATGCTGAGCAGCAAAAGGGCACCATTTGCTATCACACAGCTCATAGCACAAGCCCAGCTCACGTCTTATGTCACTTACAGTGCCGTTTCAAGCTACAGAGGCTTTGGAAAAAGCTCAAAATTTCCTATGTCAGTGATGGCTGAGTCTCATTTTCTTGGGTGCTATCTGGATGCATATGACTATGCATTTTTTCCTTCAATTATACATTATACACAACAGCCAGTTTGCTCAGCACAGATTAGTTGTGATTCGAAAATGAGCCTAACCCAGCCACAAGCGAATCCTCAGGCACTGTGTTCCTGTCCAGCTGGAAAACCCTAATGGAGAAATATAAACTCAGTAATAATAACAAGTAATGGCCATGGCTTAATGAAAGGTAGCAATTCTGCTCTAGGGAGAAGACTAATGGATGTGGCCATTCTGGTAGCTTGCTCTCATACTGATTGTCTTCTTCTCTTCATGTTTTTTTGGTCTGTATTTTGTCACAAATATGTCCAGACAAAAGCAGGAACTGCTGTGGTCTGGGGAAGAAGGCTGGCATCCAGCACTTCTGCTCAGACTGCAGTCTCACGCCAGCACACAGAGCTCTCCTTTAATTTAGAATGAGGCAAAACCCAAGTCTGTTTTTACTCCTGTCTGAGGAGCACTTCTTCCAGGTCCAAGAGCCCGTGCAGAAATTACCTTCTTTCTGTATGTCTTATAGCTGGAGCACTGCTTGTAAAATGTTGTTGTCTTGTTTAATTTGGTATTTCAATTAGTGAGCGCAATAGGCTGCTCACTATGGGAGCCAGGCAATTAAAAGGAATCTATTATGTGTTTGTTCGAAGTACCACTGTAAAGCAGTGAAACTAGAAATCAGGACTCAGAACACACACATTCAGACAAATAGGCCACCATAGCTAGAATACAAAACAACAATGGTAAGAAACAGAAGAATAACTAGAGGTCTCTGCTTTTTCATCTCCTTTTAATTTGCTGCTATAATCCGTCAGTGGTTTTTTCTCTCTGGTTTTGATACGAATGCCTTCTGACCTTGTTAACATTACTGGAGATACATCTCGCTATTGGGACTCAAAGATACCTCAGGAAAGAGCACACACCCGTCTGTGTAGGGCTGAAAGGAAATAGGCAGTGTCACACAAACCTGTGCGGTGACCAGACACTGGAAAACAGGGCTGGATTTTTCAAAACTTATTTATGAGAGAAAGTGAACTTGTCTAAGATTTCCTTCTTTCTGTGATGCTGTAAGTTGGGAAATAGAACACAGATTTGAAACTAGATTTTAGGCAGTAAGTGAAAGGAAAGGAAACCCTGTAAAAGCTTTTACTACAGATAAAAAAATCATTCTCAGCTACTGCATTCCTTGAAGCCTCATCTTTATCAGACAGCAAAGCACTCGTGCATGTTTATTTATTTTTCTTGTAAATATCTTATTGATTGAAGTAAGAAATATCCTGGTCAGCAAACATACACTAACAGCGTCCTCCCCAGCTCCACATTCTGAAATCCTTTCCCAGCTGGGAACAAGAATGAATTCAGAGCCCCATTCCAGCAGCAGCAAGGAGGAAAACAAATTTGCTATTTATACTTTGCTATAACTATGTAATGCCCCAAGCAATTATCTCTTCCTGTGTATGGATATGCTATTTTAGGTATATACTTACAAGTGTAAGACAAGCATTGCTCAGATGTTTGACTTGATGCTGCTTGGCTTTCAACTTCTTGATTGTTTAAAGGAAGAAGCATGAGTTGTGGTTGAAGTACAAGTCTAGGAGTCAAGAGGTCTGGATTCTATTTCTGTGCTGTGCCACAGACTTCCTGTACGCCCTCAAACAACTCACGTGACCTCTTTGCATTTGTGTACCCCTTCTACTAAATGGAGAATAATCACTGCTTCATGCACACTGCTGCTGTGAGGCTTAATTCATGCTTCTCTGAAAGTGTCTCAGGTTCCTCAGAAGAAAAGAACTTCAGAAATAAAGCCTCATCTCAGTTTTAATATTGTCTGAGCCATCTGGCTTAAATGTAACTTCACCCAAAGGGGATGGTATTTGTAAATGTCAACTTTCTAATAAGAAATGTGTTCTCTTTTTTGGTTTCCTATGCCTTCCCCACTTCCTCTCCTTCCTTCTCCTCCAGCAAGCTACCACACTGTTAAAATACCTTCCCATCCCCTGGGTTACCCGGCTGGTCGCTGTCCTAGCAGTGGGGTTTAATTTATCCGGAGATGGGTATGCACTTTATGTGGCGGCGTTCTTTTCTTTGCCTTTAAGCAGCCAGATAGGTCTGCAGAAAGAATAGAGCATATCTGTATTTGATTTAAGCAGGCACTGAGAATATGCTGGGTGTGACAAGGAAGGGACCAGTGCCTCGTTTTGTTTAAAACAAAGGGATTCCCAGACTGACATTTCTGAGGAACTGGGGATTTTTAATAACCTCTTGAAGGTTTATGGGAATGCAGATCTGAGATGCTATGCTGCTTTCTGTCAGATGTTAGTGTTTCAGCTAATTAGTGATTACCGAGTATTCTAACACTGCATCAGCAACTGTACTAGAATTGCAGTGTTTGCTGTGTGGATGAGAAGAGAGTGCCGTGTGGGAGCTGGATATGTTATCTAGGCTGATTAACTACCCTAAAGTGGTTATTATTCACATAACTGTTTAATGTGTGCCATCTTTGTGCTAAGGCCAGCTCAGACAAAGTATGACCCTGCCCAGAAATTCCTTCAGTTTCAAGGCTAGGCAAAGACTGCAAAGACTCATGTGAGCTGTGAAATTCGGAGCTGGCCCTGAGCGCAGTGTCCTGTGTGGGCTGCACATCCCAAGGACAAGTCTGCCATACTCACAGAGCTGCCTGGGTTAATGTCATTGAGGTTGAGGCTGATGGTGAAGGGGATGATGTCTCCAGGCTGCTGCTCAGCCCCCAGGGCAAGGGTATGTGTGAGGGAGGCCTTTGTACCAGAGCACCGTGCACCCTAATTACTCTGGACTACCCGTGCAGTCCAGAGCGCATGTAACAGCTAAAGATATGCTGGAGTAGTCATGGTTTCATCACTGCCTGTTCTCCTCATGCACTGGTACATGGCTCAGAAAGTGGATCCCAAGTTTAATCTTCATGTACACAGAGGTCAGTGTTTTAAGAAGCCAGCCAGTTTCCTGAGCTGACTTTTCAGATTTGTAGCAGCATCCTACAAAATAACAGAGTGCATGCTGAAGCATGGAGTGTTTTTTGGGAGAGTAGCATTTCTCTAAATGCTTTGGGAAAGAGAAGTTGTCAGGCAGAGTATGCAGAAAGAAGAGGCAGAAGTTTGCCACGAGAGGAGGAGAGGAGAAGCAAGTTGCTACCAGATGTAAACACCTCCTGGTGCCTGGCTGAACAGAAGTCACTGTTTGAATGACCTAGAGGAGATCTCACCAGGAATGAGAAAAGGAAAAAAGGGAAACAAGGTTAGAAAGCATGGTTCAGAGCACTGCACACAAGGAGAAGAAGCTGGAGCTGGATGCAGAAGGGAGAGGGAGCCAAGATTAAGAGAGGACAAAAGCTCACTGGGGGATGCCAAGCTGTGACGAGGTCAGGATCCTGTGATGCCCTGCATCAGTGACAAGGATCTGTGGTTTTCATGGTTTAAGCTAGTAACCAAGAGAGAAACCTTTACTTAATGCTATCTCCTCCTTGTCTCTGTTAATTAACAGCCGGAGGGGTGAGGCACTTGTGTGATGCCTGCAGTGGAACTGGTTGTCAGACCTGCCACCCCCAACTGCAGGGCTCCTTTATCAGACCCTTCAGGAAGCCGCATTAATCAGTGGGGGATTTATTGTAAGGCCAAATAGATACATTCATGGTATTTGGCCTGCCATAAATTGTCTCACACAAAACCTTTTCAGTTCCCAGTCGGTACTCTCCTGAGGGTTAAAACATGGAGCTCACAAAGTGACAGACTCAGGAGAGCCTGAGAAAGCAGCAGTACTGCAAAAACTATGTGCCTCTCCTACATCATTAGAGCATTCTCTTCATTACCATGAACTGGCTCCAGGAACATTTGATCTGAATTAACTACAAGCTCTGCAATATTTTAAAGATCTCTTTAGTCCATTTCCTGCCTTCCCCGTGCTCCCTCACATGGGCAGATATCCCAGTGAAGGTCCATGGGAGTTTCACTTGAGATATCCGTTCTGATTTCCATTTCTATTTGCTTATTTTCATGCAATGTTTTCTCCTTGTCATTCTTCCTTTGCTGCTTAGTGCAGAGTGGAAATGAGTAGATGATACAAAAGGGAGGAGAAGAAAAAGAAACTAGGCAAAAAGGAGCAGTAGGGGCCAGGAGTAATGGGAAAAACTGGAAATCTGATCAAAATTTGTTTCCCAATGCCTCCCAGCAACCCTGGACACAGTTGTGGCTGTGCTATGACTTGAGTTCAGCTGTCCAATTTTCATTTCACAAAACACATCCATTTTGCTTGAAGATGTAATTACTAGTTCAAAGCTAACTTCGTTAAATCCAAATGGAAACAGTAATCTTCAGATTGCCTTTGGCAGCTGCCGCTTGTATTATTCCAGGTCTGAGGGTTGGTATTAAAACAACACTTGTTAGGGATTAGATATTTGTAGGTCCGAGCTACCTCTTTATTTTATCCTCAGAAGGCACATCTGCCTTTGCACATCACTGGCTGACTGCATCAGCTCAGTAAGTTGCCACACAAAAAGAAACAGCATGCAAAATGGAAGTGTTAATCTTTCCTTTTCATGGTTTGAACTGCCCAGAAAAAATCCACTTTCCTGATCATAAAAAGGCATCATCCATTTCAGACTCAGGAATCAGGTGAAAGTCACAGATGTAGCTATGCTTATTTCTTATTCTGTGATGAGTTTTGTCCTCATGTAGACACTAAAGTAGCTGTGCACAATTTTTGTTATTTAAACACACTTTATTTCCCAAAGTGGATTTTGGTTTCTTTCTCAATTTCAACGTGAGAAGTTCCATCCTATCTTCCTGTCACATATATCCTACTTACTGTTTGTCCTGAAGAGTGAGTGTTGCTTAAATATTTTAGGAATTTGATCGCTTCTCTTATGAATATCTGTCTCCATGACAACCCTCCTGTGCCTTGTAATACCTTTGGTGAACATGATAGAACTGACTGTTATTTATTTCAAACTATATAACACATAGCAATGGAGATGCAAATGAAAATGGAATCAAAAGGAAAAAAATACCAAAGGAGCTAATTTGTACCATTTTCTTTACAGACAATTTTCAGAATGACCACTTCCTTCATTATGTGGGAAGTTTGTTCATCTTGAAAATGCCTCATTTTTCTCAAAATCCATATTCTTTCCCTCAATGCTGTGTCTTAATCAGACAGGCTGCAGAGTTTAGTCTTCAGTGCTGACTCCATAACCATTCCTGTTCCGTGAAAGAAAGGTAATTTCACACTAAAGCTGCTTCCCCAAGCATTATATATCTATATCTTTTTGGGGGGAAGTTCCAGCAAACATGTATATATATATATATATATATATAAACATATATATATGTATATATAAGAAGAGTATATACACATATATATATATGTGTATATATATGTATATACATTTATTCCCTCAGGCATCTAGATCAACTGGTTTCTGATTTCCAAATCACCAGAACTCAAAAACAGAGGTTCTTGCCCAGGCTGATGCATGTTCATCTGCCACATGACAGTAAGTGTGTCAGAGTCATACAATACTATAAAATTTTAAAAAGATCCCTTATTTCTGGCACTCAGAAGCTTTGATTATGCAAACTATTCATGTAAATGGAATTTCAGTTCTCTGCTCTATAGATGTATTTCCTTTTTAATCAAAAAATACCAGTTAAAATAATCTGGCTAGGTGATTTCTACTCCATTCTCAGACACACTCCTACATTCACACCTTTCCCTTTCTTCCAGACACTGTTCTGTGTCTGCCTCAATTCTCTACTTTCTATGTTCTTCATATATTAGGGGCTAGACTGCACATCTTTTTGCTGCCACTGTGCTCTTCCAGACATCAGATGTGTGATGGCTGTGCTTTGCATGAGCCCTTTGTGGATAAAGCTCCTGGTGAGGATGGTTTGAATAGCACCTTGATTTCTCAGTGCCCAAGTAGATGCATCAAAACCAGGCCTTATTTTCACAGAGTGTTAAGTGCTAGGGTCTGTTTAAATCATACATGCAAAAGTGTTTAAAGTTGGTTGTGCTGTATCACCAGTCAGTCCTTACTGAGGGAGTTGCTGTGTAGTAACTTCATGCTTCTGTAGGTACTAAAGACCAGCAATAGCAGTCAGGCTCTCTCTTTTCTGCTCCTATGTCATACTGGAACTTTCCCAAAGAAACAAGGAACCAGGAACAACATGTGACCCAGGCATTTTGATAAGATATCTGTAGAGCAGTGTTGTTTAGTATTAACAATATTGTGTATCCTGGAAACCTTTCCAGTTCCTTCCTCTCTGTTTTGAAAATGAATGCGCATTTACAGCCTAAGAAAATTATACGGAATCCATAAAGAATCCATGTCAGCCCATGCTGACACTTTCTATTGTCTAATCCATCCTCTTATTCTTAATACATGATGATGCTGCATAAAATCTACTGAGATGCAGCCCCAGCAGTCTGCCCTAGTCTCCTGATTCCTTCTGTCTTGATTTCTAAAACCACTCAGCTCTGACTGCTCCTATTCATCAACATTGTAGTGCTCTGTCATGAGAGAGCTCCTGTAATTCATAGTGTTAATGACTCCA